GAGGGGGATTCGTCGCTGTTGTCATCATCAACCATACTCCATCACCAATTTCATGATGCTCACCGCCGTGTGTGAGTAATTCCATCGTAGGCTTGCTGGACGGTGATGGGTTGGATGAGATTTACCATGTAATCAAGTTAGTTTTGTTAGGGTTTGATCCCTAGTATCCACTATGTTCTAAGATTGATGTTGATGACTTTGCTATGCTTAATGCTTGTCACTAGGGCCCGAGTGCCATGATTTCAGATCTGAACCTATTATGTTTTCATCAATATATCTGTATTCTTGATCCTATCTTGCAAGTCTATAGTCACCTATTATGTGTTATGATCCGACAACCCCGAAGTGACAATAATCGGGATACTTCTCGGTGATGACCGTAGTTTGAGGAGTTCATGTATTCACCATGTGTTAATGCTTTGGTCCGGTTCTCTATTAAAAGGAGGCCTTAATATCCCTTAGTTTCCGCTAGGACCCCGCTGCCACGGGAGGGTAGGACAAAAGATGTCATGCAAGTTCTTTTCCATAAGCACGTATGACTATTTACGGAATACATGCCTACATTACATTGATGAACTGGAGCTAGTTCTATATCACCCTATGTTATAACTATTGCATGAGCAATCGCATCCGGCATAATTATCCATCACTGATCCATTGCCTACGAGATTTTCATATATTGTTCTTCGCTTATTTATTTTTCCGTTGCTACTGTTACAACTATTACAAAAACCCAAAAACATTTATCTTTACTGTTACTACTGTTATCATTACTATCATATTACTTTGCTACTAAATACTTTGCTGCAGATACTAAGTTATCCAGGTGTGGTTGAATTGACAACTCAACTTCTAATACTCAAGAATATTCTTTGGCTCCCCTTGTGTCGCATCAATAAATTTGGGTTGAATACTCTACCCTCGAAAGCTGTTGCGATCCCCTATACTTGTGGGTTATCAGGGCTCGGGACGGAAGGGGATTGGGGGCTAGGTTTTGACCGCACGCCCTGTAGCCCACGATTGTTGCGGCCCATCCTATTTTTGAGTTGAACGCGCGCACACACACTCACCGTGACTACAATAGAGGGCCCATGCACAAGGGTGGCCCAGGCGTCATCCACTGTAACCCGAACACACAACGTACGAAAAACGAATGCCCAGATATATACCAGCGAGATAGAAAGTACAACGTTAGTGGACAACAAGGCAGATCATGGGGGCTGGATGAATTTGAAACTGGGACGGCGCTGGATTGGTGGGTACTCTAGGAGGGTTTATATGTTCAACTAGATGACCGTTGCGCCAATGGCGCAAAGGGCGAGATCAAACTAAGCATTGTAAGAATATTTAAGAAAATAGATGTTTAGATATGAAATTGATACATAGCGTTATAGGAAAGGTATGAGATCAGTTCATGATAGCTTATTTACATTACTTTTATGAGGCGAGCTACATAAGCAGAGGTCCATCATATAGAAAGATTTGGTCATTTAGCTTACTTGAGTAAGCTACGCAGCGATGAATATCAAGTAGAGTCAATGCTTGCTGGACCAACGGTGATATTTACGCATACGAGTCCATTTATTTAGGGACTTAATTAACAAGACTGTATTGATAGTGGCTTGACATAGTTCTTCGAGTGTCAAAGTCTTGCTTTGCAAACATGCACAAAATACATCAAGCTTGACATAGTCGTCAGTTTTAGTACTTTAGAGAGTATGAGCTTCTGTAATTCATGGTGAAAATTTCATCTCTATGTGGTGACAGAATTGACAGCGTGCATCAGTTCAACTGATTTAGTTACCTTGTCCATGTTGGGCAGAAGGTCTTGCAGCCTCCTTAGCCTCTTGCTAATCCTTGTTCTTCTTTCCTATAAAACATAAGCAAAAAAATATTCAGTACAAACATGTGGCACCAAGACAAACACCAAAAATGTTGCAGGAAACTAACTAACCCTCTCAGTGATGCTTCACGGGTGAGTGGTGCAGCCAATCTTGGCGCGGACTACACAGGTGACAGAGTCCTGCTGCAACTACAAGTAGTCGTCCATGCCGGGCATTTCCAGAGACGCGCTTGACAGGCCAAACCGAATTTGGACTAAGGTGTTAGTAGAAGTGTAGCATTAAACAATTGACGGGTAGCAGAGTCCGAATGGATGTAAAGTGTATATATGTGAAGTTTGTCCTACTTGGGATTCGATTTTGTTGAAGCTGGTGACCATGCTTTCGTCGCCGTTGATGAGCACCACGTGTCTTTGTTCATGCAATCTTTTCAATTTAACTTTCGTCGTATTTGTAAAGGAAATTCCAGATTTAGATCTAAAGAGCAAGAACAATTGTTATGAAGTTGTCTATTTGGACTAGAAGACATGAACACATAGTAAGGAAAAATAGTAGCACATATCAATTTCTATGACCGAATATTAATTTACCTTTCAAATATTAGTTGGGCTGCATTTCACATTCATTAAAAAAATTAGATTTTTTTAAGTTTCAATAACACGCATTCACTAAAATAGTGAATGTAAAGATGTATTCATTAACATGGTTAATTAATTTTGACCCATTTGGATGAATTAGTTGCTTCATGCTGCCAAAAACAATTGATTAGCTAGGCAGCTCGGGCCTAATCCGACCAATACAGTGACAGACACTTGCAGAAGACTGCCCAATGCCCATCTCACCATCTCCCTCCTACTTTCCGTTCTTTCTCCTGTTATTGGAACGACACATCAGCTAATCCGTGCATTTGTACTCTCCTTGGCCTACTTTCGACAACACCTTTAAATTAATACCAGGCAAATACAACATCATCTGTGGACATTGCACTATCTTTCTTATACCAGCCAAATACAACACTAATTTTATTGAATACAGAAGGACCACGCTATTTGCGTTCCTGAGCGCAAATATATGCTTTGCGGAAGCATCTATGTATGGCTTCATCAAAAAATTAACTTCCATGGTTCAACAAAATCAAAGTGTGAACTCTCATGGATATTACATAAGAAAACAAATGAAGTTGTTGTTGCTTCTTCACAGAAAGGATCATAAATAAGATAAGCAGGCATAAACTTCAAGCAGCAAGGCAGAACCTTGCTGCACGATCGTGATTCCGTCGACGGTGACACAGCAGTCCCTGGTAACGTACCTGATTTTTTCCACTTCCAAGAGAACGTTGTTGTTGCCGTTGGATGGGCGTGTGCGAATCTTGGTGCATGGAACATTGCCACGTCGCATGAGGCTGAACACGTCGCAAGGAGAGAGAGAATGAGAGAGAGGGGGAGATAGAGAAAGAGTGGACAAGAGGGATCCATCGCATCTTCCCCAAATCATTTCTCTAGTGACTGACCGCATCACCCACGGAACCGGATCATCTAACATTGAGAAGGAAAGTTAGAGAAACTATAATAACCTAACTTTCCTTCTTTCTATCCATATGATTATGGCTAAAACGATTTAAATTAATTTGCAAATTGATGATCTACCGTGTATATTTATAGTAATTACATACAAACAAACTGATGGCGAAATAAAATTAATTTTAAATTATTTATATCTACACTAAATATCAACAGTAAACAACCTACTAACTACTCCCTCCGTTCGGAATTACTTATCGCAGAAATGAATGTATCTAGACGTATTTTAGTTTTAGATACATCCATTTCCGAGACAAGTAATCCCGAATGGAGGGAGTACCTACTAACAGCCCCTAACTTTTTTTTTTCATTTTATATTAGGCAAACACTGTAGCACCGTGACTTTCCTTCACAATGTTAGAGGATCTGGTTCCATCACCCACCACTCTCTCTCACGCGTGCTCGTGCTTGCCGCTACAGCCGCTCGCCTGCGACCCAACCTGCCAGAGTCCCGCCAGCAGCCGGCGCCCTCCTCCTCGTTCGTGCTCTCAGATGCCAGAGACTGAAGCCAAGACCGCGTGTGTCGTGTGCAATCTCGACGAGATCCTGGCTCCTGCGGAAGGAGGCGGCCGGCCAAGGCCGTCGCTGCAGCAACAGAGCCTGTGCTAGCCCGCCCGCTCGGCGGCGGATGCGAAGGTTATGGGATTTGCAGAGCGCACCAGCGCGACCTCTGGCGGATCTGGTGCCTATGCGCGGTAGTCGACGCGGCGGTGCTTGCGGGGGAGCATGGGATTTTTGGAGCTGGAGGTGGACAGGGAGATGAATACTGTCTGCTCCCGTGCATCCGGTGTCTTGTTCTTCTCGCGCCACAACATCGACCAAGAGAATCACGTGGGAGGCCTCTATCATACAGACGTCCTGCGCCCGATGGACGGCGACCTTCCGGATGAACATCTTCCTCATGTAGCTCAAGACTCGTTTTGCTCGTCGTCCCCGACCTCACACGGTGCATCAATGGGTAGCTTTTGCCCTTGATCAATTCCTATTCAGTGCAGGATATGTTTTGGGGAGTTTTAACTCTGTGGGCAGTAGTGTCAGTGTGTGCCTGATGCAAGTTGATCTGCTTTCAATTGGAGGCTGGTTTCATGTGTGTTCGTGTTTTCTTTGGCAATATATAAATTTTTATGTGTTGAAATTTCTTCGAGTCGTAGCAGGCGTCCTTGACTTACCCAAATGGAAAGAAAACAAGAGCTTCAATGAATGCCAAAGAAAAAATAGATTTAAGTTAAGTCTGAATATAACATGCCTTACAAAATCAATCCTCACATGCTGAATGTTGATAGAAAATGTGTGCTTAGTTTCTTTGATTGACCTTTAGCACAATATACTGGTGGAAGTTAACAAAAGAACATTTAGTGGAATGAGAGCCCCTGCCTAGCTTACTAAATCCACTAATGTACTTCACATAGAAGTTTACAGTTCTGAACTTAGTTTTAAATATTTATCAACCCTTCTAATTTGAATGAACTGCAATTAATTTGAGGTAAATTAAAAAAAACTATGTATGTAAAAGATTAACATGAACAATATAAGCAATTGGTTTGGATCCTAGCTAATGACAAAAGTTATCATCTCAGACTCAGGGTTCAAATGTGGGTATTTCTGCATCAGAACCATGAGCTGCCTGATATAGAAGACTGGACAGTGTACTCCTATAGGGATCCTCCCCTCTCCTCTTCAGATACTTGATACAACTCTCCACTTCAGATTTGACATGCAAATAGATGTGTTGGGCCTTCTCTTTATCTCTTAATTCCTTCTCCCTCCCTATGCAAAAAAGTAAACCAATCGAAAACACAAGAAGCAAACCTAACAAGACATGGGCTCTCTGAAATATGCCTGCATGCATTCTGACTCATTTTTTGATTATTAAAAAGGATAGCAGGGCAGCGTATGTTGACTTGCCACGAGAACATGTAGATATCTTTTCAGATTACTATTTGCTAGTGCAGCTGGTTACGTTTTGTTTCAATAGGCTCCCCAAAGATGAAGTAAAATCTTCCTGACATTTTTGGCGTAAGCACTACATGATGCATATCTTTACTCTAAAATTGGAGCACCATAAGATCATTGTAGTCTAACAACATTTGAGGTGAAAAACATTGTTTCTAGACATCAGATTATCAAGGGGATAACATAGTAAGATAACATATCTTTTGAGGTTGCACTTGCATCACATATATCGTCTTCTCCAACCAATCCAAATGGTATTATTGTTGCTCCAAACCATGATGCCATCTACAGAAATTCAGACTACTCAGACCAAAATAGCTTGTATTCCTCTCCCTGTAAACAACTACATCACTTTCCAGAACAATTGATGTTTTTACTGTCTACTAAGATATATTATGATCTCTATACCAAATTATTACCTTAATATAAAGAGCGTCGTGCACGCCTCTTGGATACAGCAAAATGAATTGCTTCTCTGAAAAGAGAAAAGAAGAAACGTAGGCCAATATGTGCACCATGACAAATTCAGAATCTATCCATCATTTGAAATTCAGATTTCAGAATCTATCCATCATTCTGAAATTCAGATTTCAGAAGGGGGTGGATGGATGGCCGCAAACCAACGGAGCATTGACCATCGACTGATGCATCACAGGCGATGTTCTAGACATTTTAGTGCCAACAGGCAGCGCAACTATGAGCACGAACACCTATATATTCTTAAATTAAGACATGCATTGTTTGCCTCCTAAGAGGGAAAAATTACCTTCTTGCGGTGGCAACTCTGCTCAACATGTCCTAAAAGTCAACAACACAATAGAAAGAGGTAAGTTTGCAACCAACATTCCTATATAGGTCTTTTTATCTTTTAGCCAAATGTAATATCAGCTGAATGCAAATTAGGGACACTATTATAGGAAAAATATAGGTCAATATGCCAACTGCTAGACATGGACCAAACACAACACTATTTATCAATCGGCACACCCTGCTATTAATGCAGGGTTATAATTCCAGCAGAGATTCAAAAATATTAAACAATAACAAATATTATCTTGGGCAAACATCTAGTGCTCTGAAGAAGTACTAATCCAAGATCTGCCATCTCAAATACACAAACTGATTTCAAAAGTAGGGTAACAACCATGTATATCTATTAATATGTCACTGAAGGAAACTAAAATTTACATACAACCATGCCTTGTATCTCAAAAGGCACTTCTAAAGAACACAACTTTTAATCTACAAACATATGCTTGAACATGTGAAAAGGCAAAAAAATACCTTCTTGCAGTTGCAACTCACCATCTTTACATTAAGAAAGGCCGAAAATACCTACTCCGACTTTATGTGCTGAATTTGACTTACGTACATTTAGCTGCCTCATCACTTAAATGTTGAAGTCCATGCTTTCATTCAGCTCAGACCTGCAGGCTGCACATGACAGCCAATTAGAAGAGAACAAAGAAGCTCCTGTGCGCATACACATCTCCAGTGTTGTGTTCTTCTATTCGCCTTAAGCAACACTTATGCATACAATTTGTTTGCCTCTCAGAAACAGAGACCTAAGGAAGAGAAAGAATAACCTAGTCGAAGCATACCTGCAAGCCAATGAGGAAAATTAGGTTTGCAGTGCTTGGTGCACTGCGTCGCATGCCCTGGAGGGCCATGACAAACAAGGGCTAACCACCCCATCTCCCGTGCAGCTCCACCCCAGTGCGATGGGAGCGTCGCCCCTGCCGCTTCTTGCTCTGGTCGCCGGCCACGCTGCTCCTTCCCCCCATCACCCGCCTCCCCTGCTCCTCCACCCAAACTATGAAGACCCAGCTGTGACGCTACTCCTCAACTTTGCTGCCCCACCCCTCTTCCCCTACAGATGTGACCCCTCTCTTCGAGGATAAGCCGACATGCGGGAGGATCCGGCATGATCTGGTTGAGGAAAAGGAGGAGAGGCAGCCCTGGGCAGAGGAGAAGGGGCGTGGCGGCAGCGGCAAGAGAGGAGAGACGAGGCATGAGTAGCTTTCTACCCGATTCCACCGCGTACAGAGCATACGGGACCCTGAAGATTCTTCTCAATGTAACTGCAAAACGGGCCGCGAGGAAAGGAGCCCCACACGTCATCCGCTGTAGCATGAAAGACCAATGTCCAAAGAAACTAACCACGGGATTTTTGACAGCACTGTAAAATCAGGCCAACGAGGCAGATCGTGCGGCCAAATCGCATGTGCGTCGCGAATGCCCCTGAAATGGCGGGTACTCTAGCAGTGTTTATATGTTCGATCGTCTAGCATCTCCCGTTGTGCCCCAATTTTTTTGGCATCTCCTCCCTGTTAGATTTTTTTGTAGTGTAGCTGTTAAGAAATTAACTACTCCCTCCGTCTGGAAATACTTGTCATCAAAATGAATAAAAAGGATGTATCTAGACATATATTAGTTGTAGATACATCTCTTTTTATCCATTTTGATGACAAGTATTTTCGGACGGAGGGAGTATATATCTCATGCACACCGCCAACTTACCCAAATATCAATTTAATAAGGAAAACATTACTGCTGACCTACAACCATACCACTGGATTTGAGCTAAGAACAAGAGCATCTCATGAAATTCTCGTTGAAGCAACACTTCAATTTTATACATAATTACTATCGGTTTATAAGCCTACTGCCCAATTAAGGCCCTCTTTGGATTGAAGTACTCAGGGTCCCGTATGACAGGATTAAATTCATAAGAATTTTTTAGGACTAAAGGTATGCTATATATTTCTTTTTGAATTTATTTTTTCTATTGTTTTAGTCATGTCATAACCAGGATACGTAATGGACACAGTCCTAAAAAATTCTTATGATATAGGAAATTTTTAGGACTGTGTCCATTACATATCCTGGTTATGACAGGACTAAAGCAATAGAAAAAATAAATTCAAAAAGAAATATATAGCATACCTTTAGCAAGCATTACTCAAGTACACAGGCTGTTGACATCCCTGTATGCCACGCCATTTCACGCCCTCGAAACCCCAAAGTCCGCACCATGACCTCATCTTGATGCCAGCGGGTGTAGCAGTCGACAAAATCACAAATGAATGCATCGAATCACCCAATTAATCATTTTTTGCACCAATAGAAAAAGAAGCACAAAGTAAATAACACCACCTTGGGGAACAAATTTAACAGAATTCCATTGACATGTTTGTAATAGCAGTTAACATGTGCATGACTAATACCTCCTATGTTCCGTAAACTAAAGAAGAAATAAAGTAGGAGAAATGCCTAACAGCTCTCGGGTGCCTCCATTGCCATGTTTGTAGTGCAATTAACATGTGCATGACTAATACCTCCTATGTTCCGTAAACTAAAGAAGAAATAAAGTAGGAGAAATGCCTAACAGCTCCCGGGTGCCCCTACACCCTCATGAACAACAAATTCATAAAAAAATGAAAAAAAAATAAAAAAAACTGAAACTTTGAGGGATCAAAGATTATCAAAGGTTTGATGTTCCTGCAAAGTTTCAGCAACAAATAACCTTCGTGGAGCCCTCACCAAAAATAACAAAATCGATGCTTAAATATGTACATAAACTTTGGACAATGATTTTGTTTTTATTTTATTTGAGTGCTCTTCGAATGTTATTTTTAGCTAAAATTTTGCAAGATCATCAAAAGTCTCATCACTACTGGAATTCTGGGCTACGCCGAGTGCCACGGACACTCGGAAAAGGGCCGAAAACCGCCGGCAAAGCCTTTGCCGAGTGTCACCCTCGGCAAAAGCCACCCGGCGTACACCTCTTCGGCAAACAGGAGTTTGCCGAGAGCCAGAACATGGGCACTCAGCAAAGAGTTTGCCGAGAGTCAAACAGTACCACTCGGCAAAATAAAGTAGCTAACGGATAGCAGACGGTGACGGCGGTTCCTGACACGTGGGACCAGGGGAGCAGGCCGAGGACCTACTTTGCTGAGTGCCCCTCTCGGCAAAGACAGACAGTAGGTGGCTGACACGTGTCAGCTCCTGACACGTGGGACCAGGGGAGCAGGCCGAGGGCCTACTTTGCCGAGTGCCCGTCTCGGCAAAGACAGCCAATAGGTGGCTCACACGTGTCAGCTCCTGACACGTGGGACCAGGCGAACAGGTTGAGGGCCATCTTTGCCGAGTGCCCCTCTCGACAAAGGCAGCCAGTAGGTGGCTGACACGTGGAACCAGGCGAATAGGCCGAGGGCCATCTTTGCCTAGTGCCCCTCGCGGAAAAGACAGCCAGTAGGTGGCTGACACGTGTCAGCTTCTGACACGTGGGACCAGGCGAACAGGCCGAGGGCCATCTTTGCCGAGTGCCCCTCTCGGCAAGGACAGCCAGTAGGTGGCTGACATGTGGGGCCAGGCGGGCAGGCTGAGGGCCAACTTTGCCGAGCGCCACTCTCGGCAAACTCTATATTTGCCAAGTGTGACTCCCGGCAAACTCTATATTTGCCGAGTGTGACTCCCGGCAAACTCAGCCAATAGGGGAGGGCCACGTCACTTCTCCTAAAAGCCGTGAAAATAGTTTGCCGAGAGTCACCGTCGGCTATTCTTTTTCCTTTACCGAGAGGCCCCTCGGTAAAGTTGCAGGGGGGGGGTACAGGTTATTATCCTTTACCGAGAGGCCTCTCGGTACAGGTGTCAGGTTATTGTACTTTATCGAGAGGCCCCTCGGTAAAGGGTGCATTCTAGTCCAGTTTCATAGTCATTGCCGAGAGCCACCCTCGGCAATGGTGTGCCCAGGAGCCTTTTTTTCCCTGTTTCTGTTTCTTTCCTGTAGCGAAACATATACAGCAGCAACATATAGTTCATCACACATATAACATGTCACATATAGGCATCATTGAACAAAAGAAGCAATGATTGATTCTGAAAAACATTCCACATAAAAGCAATAGTGCATAAAAGCAATAGACCACAAGTTTACAAGTCTCAAGATGCAAGAGTTCTCAACATACAAGGAACAGTTTCAAACATAACATGAAGTTCACGCGATTTTGGAGATCGGAGCGATAACATCAACATTAGAAGGCATCATTCCGTTTGCTGCCCCAACTCCATCAATCGGAGT